CCAGAGGACACTCCTCTTCGACCTTGAAGTTCCGATTTTTATAGTTTTTCCCCCACTATTCGAATTTCGGATTGGTCACTCGTCCCATTGCTCGCTTCCCGATTGGTCTCTCCTTTGTCTCCAGGTGCTAGACGAAACTTTTTCGGGTCGCGGGAAAGGTCCGATTCGAGGTGTCCATCTGATACCTCTTTGTCGACTCTGCTCGGTGACTGTTTATAAAACAATAACACCTGAACTCATAATACTATATAGAAATACAGTAATTTTGAAATGAAAAACAAAATGAATAATTCATACAGTTGACTTGAAAATTTAATAATTGTTTCGACGCTATCATTACAGAAACAACAAAGACGATTGTTGCATTGTAACATATCATAGTTTATTTCGGAACTTATTATTTAGAATGTTGTAGGGCCGTTAGATTTCGAGTGCCCGGGAGCACGCGATACTTAGATACTTAGCGACAGATATACCACTAATTACTTAGCGACAAATATACCACTAATCCATCTGACCCAGTTTGGAGTGCAATAAGCTGTCCTCGGCGCAAGGTAGGTATTTTTTTTAACTCTTTCCGCCCTGTGGGCACTAAGAGGGCCTCTTTTTGCAAGCCCATTATGGGTTCGGCCAGGCCCACAATGGGGCTGCCAGGTGGTGAGGGACGGGGTCCGACATATCCGAACGGACCACCCCCCGAAAAATTCCTGGGGATTTTTCGACCCGTTCGGATTCGAGCCCGGGTTCCCCAGAGCGGTAGGCTGCCACCTTCACCGCTCGGCCATCCGGCCGCTGCAAGGTAGGTATTAATCCGTCAATCGGCACGAATTTTAAACCCGAAAAAATAGACGACGACCTAAGAAAAAAAACCGACGAGGTAACGCTGCTGCTTGCAGAGGAGTGGCGAAAAGATAGAAAGACATCGAGATCTTTGGTCCACGACTCTACTGTATTAAGGGCGAAGAAGCACGAATTTCGTTATTTCGACGATCTCGTCAGTTTCATTACAACACATCCTTACAAACACCCCTCGCCGTAACATTCACAATTGAACCATTATCTAGTTTGTTTGTCGTATCCAATCATTTACATATCACACTTCGTTACCGTCACATAACACCAACACTGTTTCCCGAAATCCAACCCCTAGGTTCTCGTACTGGGAAGTGGAAACGTCACTCGATGTTTTCGAGTGGCGGCTAAAGGGGCTCTGGTACACTGAATATACACACACTACAGTTATCTTAGTATTCTCTGTGTAACTTTGTAAACAGAGATGTAAGGATATTTACAAAATGCTAAAACTTTCATTGAAAAGCACGGACGCTGTGTTTAAACTGTTTCATAAGGATGAAGAAATCATGTAATTGATTAAAGACGTTTGTTTGTTTGTTTCCCTATACACTCCTAGGCCTTCGACCAATTGCTTCGAAACTCAGTAGTTCTACCTAAATATTTCTAACTTAGATCCTGTCATAACATACTACCCCAAAATATCCATTGCAATTTAATAAATCAATTAATTTTTATTTACATTAGATTTTTTGAGTATTGTTGATAGATGACGTTACTTGTAACGTCATCTATTAACAAAAAAGCGTTATCTATCAACAAAAAAGTTAACAAAAATATTAACTAAATATAATTCTTACAAAGAAGGATATAGTTTTGAAAAATATATTTTATATTTACTTAATTACCCCGACAATGATTTAACTCGAAATAGATTCGCCATTACGCCATTACTGCGACGTGTAACACAGCACTTGCCTGCGTAGAGTGTACTAGTGTTTTGCCGATGGACATCATACTTTTCCGGGTTAATTGCTAAAAAATGTACATCATTTTTTAGCAATTAACCCGTGTCGGTCATTCATCTAAGTCGCGTTCGGGAGAAAATTTTGAATCAAAGTAACGTTACTTCCGTTCTAAACCGGATATTCGTCTAATCTAAGCCTCCTGCCCCAAGTTTCCACATCTGGTTTCGACTTTCATCTAACTCCTTTCTCGAGATCAAGGAAGGACAGGTAGATAGGTGACAACAGTGGGAATTTATAGGTTTACAATGTTTTCAAATTGCAGCTCAATAATTTTTCCATAAACACAACAGTGGCGTGTCGTGACATTTGATGATAGGGAAGCTGTGTTTCTATAAGAAACCGACATCCAGGGGCAATCAGTCAATTGCGCGTTAGTGATGTCTAGGGTCCATTCGTATCGTTTATTTGATAAGCCGGTAAAAACTGTAGACTTCTCTAAATGTATTTTTAATATCACAATTACATTCCGAATCGCTAGCCACGATATAAGGACTACAATTAAAAATAAAATAATAAAAACTTGCT